CTGATGTTCATGTCAGAGGATATTACAGATCCAGAAGACACAGGGAATAAACTATTGCTACTTTATTCTTACTTGATAAAGAATGTTACTTGATAAATACATTCACCTTTTCAATAAAAACATCACATAACACACAACAAGCTTTTTGTCTGCAACAGTTGAGATGTTGGAACAATCAGATAAAATGAGCAGCAACTGAAACTGAGTTTTTTCATCCTCCATCAGTGAAGCATCACCTCTCTACTCCCCCCTCTTCCCTCCCAGGATGCACCTGCAGGCCTCCTCTCCTCATTCACAGCTTCATGTAGATGAAGAGGTCAAGTGTCAGGCCCTGTGTTGTATCAGCTTTGCATCTGCTGCATTTTTTAATCATTCATTCAATTAAATAAAAACTCTGCGATCAAAATAAACTATTTGTATTTATTTGTATTAATGAAATTATCACTTACAGCAGAAATATTTGACCTGTAATAAAATTCACTAGAATTTAATTTTCCTCTGATGTTCATGTCAGAGGATATTACAGATCCAGAAGACACAGGGAATAAACTATTGCTACTTTATTCTTACTTGATAAGAATGTTACTTGATAAATACATTCACCTTTTCAATAAAAACATCACATAACACACAACAAGCTTTTTGTCTGCAACAGTTGAGATGTTGGAACAATCAGATAAAATGAGCAGCAACTGAAACTGAGTTTTCATCCTCCATCAGTGAAGCATCACCTCTCTACTCCTCCCCCTCTTCCCTCCCAGGATGCACCTGCAGGCCTCCTCTCCTCATTCACAGCTTCATGTAGATGAAGAGGTCAAGTGTCAGGCCTCTGTGAAATAAGAGGAAACTGTCCCTGGAAACACACTGATGTTTTAATGACTGTCCTTTGGTCAAATCAGAGACGGTTTAACTCTGATGTGTGTAAATTATGTTCATGTGTGAAGAGTCAAAGCTTATATCCTGAAACTGAAGATTCTTGTTGACTCATGGAAATGTTGTCAATTAAATTATTCAAATGAAGCATGAATGTAAATTAAAGAGTTCACCTACACTGACAACAATGAATGAGTTAAAGACCGTTTCCCTCCAAAGAGGATTAAAGACCAACAAACATGACAAACCATGTAGATTTAACCGCAGCTCCTCCTCCTGTCAGTCACTCTCAGTTTCAGTGTCGTATTAAATTGCTCCTCCAGCACCTCGTCTCCTCATCCTCCAAACCCTCTCATCTGTCAGCAGTAAGCTCACTCTCCAAGTTACAAGGCCATTCTCAGCACACACTGACAACATGCTGGGGACGCTCTGCACTCTCATCACTGCTCTAACATGTAAGGAGGCTGACTTACTGCAGCTCTGACCTCATGTTGGATTCATCAGTCTGTGTGTTTCTCTTGACTCCATGTCATCTTGTTGTTTCCAGGTGTGAGTGGTGTGACGGTGGTGACACAGAAGCCTCCTGTTGTGACGCTGAGGAAAGGAGAGACAGCCACCATGGACTGTAACCTGGGGACTGTTACTGACAGTGCTGCTCGCTGGTACAAACAGACTCCAGGAGGAGTTCCACAATATATCTTGTTTTTTTATCATGGAGATAGATCTGCATTTTACGGCTATGGTTTCTACTCTCCTAAATTCACATCTAATCACCAGTCAACATCAGATTATCGTTTAATTATCAACAATGTGGAGGAGGGAGACTCAGCAGTCTATTACTGTCACACATGGGACGACTCTGCTAAGGAGGAGGTATCACAGTGATTCACACTGTGACAAAAACCTCCTCACTAAACACTTCTGCTTTTTGAATCTCTTTTCTTCACTGACAATGAATCCATCAACAAATTCTTTCTCTATCTTCACATGTAACTTTAAAAATGTCTGTATTTAATCTGTTCTCATCCGACTCATTTCTTTGTATCTTTTCACACATATTTCTTATCCTTCTTGACATCTTCATGTTCTGTACACTTCCCTTTACCTCAAGAATGACCCGTCATTGCTTCATGTCTCTGATGAAACATCTTACCTGAATTTTAAAGAAGAAATTATTTTTGCATTCAGCCACTCAAACGGTCAGAGAATAACTGCGTTTTCATACTTCACAATGCAGAGCAACCGTTTCATTTATTCAATGTTCACCACTCGCTTTTTTTACTACAAAGGCCAGTTTCAATTCCTGACCACCATGGCTGGAGTAACCTGTCTGGGACATTAGATCTGTCGTTGCACCTCTGTTGCCTCCAAGTTCCCATCATGCACAGTGCACACAGGTCAGCACAGCTCAGTATAGATGCCAGCTTCATTACATTTGCACACATCAGCCCCAGAAACCAACCAGTACTCCTGTGCAGGAATATTACCTGGCACAGCAAAAGACCCATGACTGGGATGGGATTAAACAACAGTGACAGTCAATGTTACACTCTCAGAAAGTCCTATTAAAAATAAATATAATATTAAGCTGTGGCCAGACACATTTTAGGAACAATGTTTTCATTCAATTATCAACTCAATAAGCTGTAGGCCTACCTTTAACTCATTTTAGTGCCCAGAGCCGCAGCGTGCTTAATATCACGACCACCAATACTAAAGAGAAAACAAGGAAAACACACTGAACACCTTGTTTGACCAACAGATATTCTGATATTTATCAAACTGTGTAACCGTGACTTACAATCACACCCTCCACTTCAGGTGTGCACCTTATGTCTAACAGGCGGATCGATCAGATGACTGGGAACTATGATAGAAATAAAAACCACATGGATTACTTGAGTGTTTTCTTTTACAGTCCAACTGAAGTGACTGATGGCGTATGATCTTACAACAATATTTGCCTACCGCAAAACTAAATGTCTGACGTCCCTCGTGCTGTTGTCTGCACCACGCTGCACTTCCAGGCCACACTTCCATGCCACGGACAGGTAGGAGAGAGAGAGAGAGAGAGAGAGAGGGAGAGAGGGAGCGCCACTTCCGTTGTCCCCTAAATAATCTTCCCCATGGTCCTAAAAACATCTCCGTTACACATAGGAACATTTAATGAAATTGCAAAAAACAAAACGACAAATGTCTTTTTTTACACTTTCATTTGTTTATAACAATGATATGATAGTAAACCTGAGGAGACCATTACAGCACGTGTCTAAAAATCTACCAGGGTGAAGCATATTTGTGTCATTTTTACATTTGTACCATTTACTATTAATTGCTTTTATATGGAAAACTGAAGATGATCAGCTGAAATACACGAGGTTAAACACAGTGAATGTTCTAGCAGCCCTGCAGCTGATAATCATGAATGAATGATGCTCTGATGGAGGAGAACACCTTCACCATCATTCTTCTGAATTCAACCATGATATCAGAAGTTTCAACCTTTCCATGAGAAGAAACTGATGCAACAGAAGATTCAGAGTTAAATCCTCAAGTTCAGCAGTGTTTTGTAAAATAAACAGACTGATGAAGGGAATGAGATGTTGACAGTGAAAGTTGGTCTCAACAGCATGTTTCAGTTCCACTCCCCTCATCAGTGAGAGTCAGGAGGTTTTTGTACAGCCATGTGTACAAACTGAATCACTGTGGTATTCGGACAAGGCACCAAGCTGATTGTGACAGGTAAGTACTTTCGAACTGATCATTAAACAAGACTGATTCACTGTTTCTGTCTCAAACTCACAGAAAGTTCGACATTTATATGTTACTTCCTTTTTAAAATGTTTATCTGAGCATTGTTCAGTGAATAACAGATGTTTTTGAACATCAGCTTGGATTTGATACCAGACTGTGTCTTTGACAGAAAAATAATGGCAGTATTTAAGATGTTTCCTACAAAGTCTCCACAGTTTGTTGATGGTTGAGTCATTTTTAACAGAGGAGCAACATTTACAAGATTGTGCTTGTTCATTTTCACATCTTGAGACAAATTGAAGCTGTGTTAGATCATCTTTACATTCCTTTATCAACACTACATCACTGTATCTGTGTTGTTTCATTTAAAGGTGCTTTAGATTTGATCCAAATATAAATTGTCAGATTGAAATGTTTCTTTCTCCGGTCGTTGTGACTCTTGATATGATGTAATTTCTCACTGTGGACTAAAATAGAATCCATTGTCATTTTGTCAAAAACAAACAGTGACTTAATGAATGTTTCCAGCATAAACATATTACATTCTTAATCATCATATTCTAAATGAATAGCTAAATGATAAACTGTGCGTACATTTTAAGTGAAGATTTCTACATGTTTTTTTCTACATTGAAATCCTTTACTTTCGTCTGATTATTATATTGTTAACTAAAAACATTTCACTCTTACTGTCATGCTGTGTATTAATAATGTGATTCCTACTCATGTGATTAATGTCGTCCATGTATTTTCAGGCTCCGGTCTCTCTCCTCCTGTCCTGACAGTCTTCCCTCCGTCCAGTGCTGAGCTCCAGTCCAACAAAGCCACTCTGCTCTGTCTGTCCAGTCAGTCTGTGCCTTTTGCAGAAGTACCTGGTTGGTTGGTGGGAGTCCAGTGAGCAGTGGGGTCTCTACCAGCACCGCTGTTCACCAACCAGACCACACTTTCCAAAATCAGCAGCTATCTGGACATCCAGACGTCAGACTGGAACATGGAGAAGCTTTACACATGTAAAGTGTCTTTGGGCTCCCAGACTTCAGAGAAAAACATCAACAAGTCAGCCTGTCCCACTGAACAATAGCAGAGGAGCAGAATGAGCATTTACAACCTGCTTCTTTACTGTTTGTGCTGTTTGCTCATTACAAGGTTTTTACATGTTAGAAAAAGATGTGTCTGCATGCTCGTAATAACTGTTGTGACAGTTAGGTGAGGTGTTGTATCAGCTTGCATCTGCTGCATTTTTTAATTCATTCATTCAATTAAATAAAAACTCTGCGATCAAAATAAACTATTTGTATTTATTTGTATTAATGAAATTATCACAACAGAA